CTAGCGTGAAAGATGGAGTGCACGCAGCCATGGAAAGAACAGAAGACGAGAATATGACGGGAGCGTACGGGCCACGGAAGGCAACTAAATACATAGACACCCCAGCATGCTGAAATGCACGGCTACGGAAGAGCACGCAACTTCGAAGCCACTGTAGAGCACGTAGCGGTAAGAGTGCACGGACAGTAATTCTCCCATAGCACCACGGTACAACACGGAGCACAGTCGACCGACCAAACGTGAAAACGCGATGTACCATAAACGGAAGATCATCCGAGCATTGGAGCCCGATATTAGGGTAGAATCGGAGCTCACCGAGTCCGACAGCACGACACTACGGTAGCTAACGATCTCACGGACGACAGACCAACCGCAACATCGCAAGCTAACACGATAGCATGGACTGTGCCACTAAGTCATAGGGGAGCACAGCCACAGGAGCTATAGACGGGAGATCTTTGAGCCACGGAGCACGATACCAGCGTAGAAGCTCAGCTCCCCGAGCCACGGAGGACAGTAGCACATTAAAACTCGATTGCACGGACGGCAGACCAGCCACGAAAATCACGGGGGTGCTTGGGGTGACCACGATTGCACACCGTGGAGCACGAAGCCCATGTAGAGCACGATAACACGGGCAACGCAGATGCACTACGCGAGCACCATACCATAGACAGCATTACCACACCGTGATTGCACGATAGCGTGATTCCGCGGTCGATGACACTTCATCAGGAGATCACGATGCACGGGCGACGGAACCACGACTGCATGGAGGCACCAAAGCACGGAATAGCACCCTTTGGTTAGAGCACCGGCGATGGAAGGCCAATGGTAACGAAATAGTATCTACCACGAAGCCAGTGCAACTTACGTAAACGTTTGAGAACGGAAAAAAGTTAGCTTTAATGAAAAGACCGTACTAAAGAGCATGAACCCACAAGAGAGAGGACAGAACCGCTGAGCAGCGTGGGCCATGGGTGAACAGGAACCTCGAAGCCGGGAAGAGCACGAAAGAGCATGGACCATTGAAGAAAACAACACCCAACCTGTAGTACGGGGTAGCGGAAACGTTCCAAACCACGATATTCTACGGGGCCGAATGAGACTACGGAAGGCAAGTGGTTAAATACACGATGCCAAGATCTACGGGGTGAACCACGCTCTCAAAACACGCGACACCAAGAAGCACTAAGGCTGCGGCCACCTCATCTCCAACAAACCATGCCACTCCGCCGCGTAGCGGCGGCGAACGGCTAGTCTTACCCCTCTAGTGGAGTCTGGTCTGCGTCAGTCCGTCAGTCCGTCCGAGGGTAGGGTTCTAAAATGTAACGCAAATGCGAGCGTTCTACTGGCTGCCGAGCGCAGCGAAGGCGGCGTCGATAGGGTAAAATCGCATTATGTAGTGTACACACTGTATGAGGTCAACACATCGTACTTAAAATGCACCGCTCAAATTTCATTTTGCTTTTATTTTCAGCTGCGGTATGCAAGGCCACGCGAAGGGCGCTGCCTGTGTACGCGTTAGTTAGCTGAATTAAAAGGCGCCGATGAGCACACACGTTCTCTATCGTCGTAGGTGCTGTTGATAAAATTTGAAGGCTTCGGTGACTCATACTTCGGGCCTCAATCAAAACATTTGTACTTATTGGTTTAAATATGATTTGATTTGCTTCGTAGTAGGTTTGTAATAATTTAAATTACAGTACTGTTTTGCGTAGTACTATTCTTAGACATTTCATATTTTTGCTTGCAGTTATT